TGGTGCTCACATACTCCATCTCACAGGTATCAGAGTAAACATTCCCTCAAGAGAAATCGTAAGTGGAGGCTGACGTCAAACTGGACCTCGGTGCTTCGCTCTATTCCACCTGCCTGCAGCTCCCTTAGGAAGCTTTACCCATATTTAAAGCAGAAGCTGCTCTGTACACATTGGCTTTGCTAGCCCAACTAAGAAGCCTGTTATACTTGGGCAAATGGTGTGTAACACAGGTAGAAGCCAAGGCTGCAAGATGATCCTTGAGAAGCTGCAGAATTCACACAGTGTGCAGCTCAGGTGTCCTATCACCACCACAGGGAAAAAATAAACACTCTAATACCTGTAAACCAAAGATACCATCCTGTTATGCAAAAAGTTTGTAGAACTGGGGTTTTACAACACATTTGGTTACAAACAACAGGATCTTGTCACTCAGTCTGAAGGGTCAGGAACTAAAGAAACCAACCATAACTTTTGCTATCTTCCTCCCAAAGTTATGATATTGCAAAAAGCATTGGTGTCTGGAAAAACCAGCATGCATGATGAACGGAGAAAACAGACACTAGTTTGATAGCACCAACCCAACCAACAAGTTCTGCAACACTAATTATATCCTGCCCAGAGCCTCACCAAAACCCTTCTTAGAAAAGAGATCTTACAGCCACTTCAGTAACATGATCTCATAAGAAGTGCACTGAAAAGGACTGGATGTGAGACTAGAACTCACAGGGAAGATAAAGCAACCAGAGATAGGCCTCAGCTTTTTCTAATCAGAAAATTCATCCATCCTTGAGATTCTGCTTGAAAGAAATCTGTTGCCAACACAACAGGCAGAGGAGTACCTTCAACAGGGCAATGATGGTTTCACTGGCAAGTAAACATGCGGAGCATGGTGTCCTGTTTCACCTCCTCCCTGCCCCATGCAGATTATCCGATATCCAGCAATACAGTGTGAGCTCATACTGGAACCATCTGCACATGAGGGGCATTAATTCAGCTCTCCCTTTCTCTCCATTGCCTGCTTTCCAGCAACACCTGGACACAAAGTACCTCTGAGATTCTATCTGTCACATAAGCCTTATCTTCTTGATAAAGTATGAAGTGCTTTCCTAGGGAGTTCTCCAGGAAAAAAAAAAAAAAAAAAAAAAAGTTAAGTCAGATCAGCAAAAGAACATCTGTAGCTTGTCAGGCTTTATCACTCCTTGTACTTCTCTAGTACCACAAGGCTCTCAGCTGCCAAACCATCCTAACCCCACTCAAAACTAAGTGAAAACCATAAAAGCTTTGAACAAAGATCCTAAGGGAAAAAATAATCAATATGGATTTTCCCTCCTCCTAGACAGGTGACTGTGATGGTTCTTTCTCAACGAGAGAGCTTTTTCCATCTACTGTTTTTTGCTTGAAGCCTGCCTCCCTATGTGCAGAGGTTCCACAGAGCAGACAGCTCCTTTTTCAGTTGAATCCTGAAGACATTTGCATTTAAATTTAGCTTAAGGTTCTCGGTTGCCATTCTGTAGAACAGATTCCCACCTGCTTCAAAACAGCTGAGATTTCACTCCAGGTGTTGTCACCTGCCATGCTACAGCTACTGGCAGCTTCAAAAAAAAAAAAAAAAAAAAAAAAAAAAATGTTTTATCAGAACAAGCTCAAAATGCAAGCCATGCCTTCTGCAAACTGTGTTTGTGGGGGGGGAGGAGGTGGGAAGTAGCACAGGCAGAGCCCAGAAAGGATTGTTACATGACACAAATTAATCGGGGGAAAAAAAAAAAAAAAAGAATTGGGAAACCACAGCCAAAAAGCACTGCCAAAATTACTCCTCTGCCTTCCTTTTCAAGGCCAACGTCCTTGGTTATTTTTCAGTGCTGGGTCACAAATACTTTAGTGAAACCTCTGGTTTAGTGGCATAGAATCGCTTTCTTTGCACTGAAGCACACTTCACAGAAAGTGATCCAGATCTTCCATTTGGTCCAAATGAAAAGAGCAAGAGACCACTGCTCTAATCACAGCAGCTCCCAGACAAAGCCTAGAAAGGGAAATGTAAACTCGTTCCTTTCTACTACACACACACACAAAGAAAAACAAAAAGCTCCTGAGGAGAACTCCCTTTCCAACACCAAGTTTACAGTTTGTCTCCTGAGAAGTGCCTGTTCTCCAGGCAATTCACATCCCCCAGTCCCAGACCCAATCCTCTCTTTCCACTCTGAATCCCTGGGATGAGGATTCCGCCAGACAAGGAACAAAACCCCACCCTATGAGCTCAGCCCACTCCTAAAATCTCCCAGAGGTTCCTCACACCAGAGCTGCCCTGTAGCACCAAGGTGCTGCTTCATTTTGCTTAAAGCAGAAACTCACAGGTACGCAGATTGATACACTCAAAACCAGGAGACTCTTCAAACCAAATGAGAACTGTGCGAGCGTGAAAGATTTTTAAAATTTCCAAAATAGAAGATAAAAATGATGACATGGGAACAAATTCTGAGATTCCAGATATAAAACAACAACTTTCAAGCCTTTATTGTCAAATGCTCAATGGCAGAGTTTAAAGAGCATGCAAACATAAGCCTCTCCCCAAATACCACGACAATGGAGGCGTTACAATTTTACCCCATTTTACAGATGTTGAGAACCTACAAAAGGCTCTGAGCTCAAAAATAAGGTCTGCTTCAGCAAACTGTGGGATGACAAAGTGCAGCTTACAGCCTAAATCTCCCAGCTGCTGAAAAGGACGATAGGTTTGCAATAGTTGCATGGGTCTTTTCTGCTAGATGGGTTCCTTTCAGAGACATCAACTTCCTCCATACGTTTCACCGGACAACAGGAAGACTACTGCTAAGCATTACACTTCAGGCTACTCTTGAATAGAGAAGAGGGATTAAAAGTGTGCACAGCCCATTTGCAAACAGCACAGTCAACCATTCTGCCCCATATTTCCTGCTGAACTGAGAAAGCGCCTTCCAAAAATAGCCAATGGTTTTGCTGAAAGGCTCAAAACAAACAGTACTTCTGAAGGAATATCTTACATACTTTACATAATAGCCATCTCAGAAGGGAAAAAAGGATGTGTACAGTGTTCCAGTGTGAATTCTGTGTTGAACAAAAAGACATCATTCTTTGCTTAACACAAGGCTTAAATTCACCATAAAGGAAATTGCTGAAGTTAAAGCCTTTGGGCTCTAGCTGGGAGGGAGACATCCCTCTGAAGGGAACCATTTTTATCCTAAATTGAAGTTGAAAGAGGATACGTAAAAGGAACGCTGTCAACTTGTTTAAGCCTCAATTTGTACTTGCCTCAAAAAAGGAAAGTTCAATCTCATTCAACTTCTATCAGAAAAATCCAAAACATCTTTAATTGTTTGATTGTTGGGCACGCAGGTACACCTATACAGGCTTCTACTTAAGGACTTTTTTTGTTTTTGCTTTAAAACCTGGTCCTTATCCCTAGACATATGGTTTACCCTTCCTGTTAAACAGTATGCCTACTTTAAAAGGAAATGACATAATAGTAACACTGGTATCACACTATAACTGCTGTCTTCTCTCCCATTCAGCAGTAGCTTTCCTCAAAAGCTAGAAATCTACATCCATGTGCTTGCTCGGTGACACTCTGCCCCTTCAAGACAAAGGTGAAACTCCATAAAAGAGGAATTGTTACAAGCAAAGCAACAGCAGCATGAAGGGGGCAAAGTCAGTGATCAATGCCTTTTATTCTTTCTGAGAGCCAGGAGACAGAAGTTGCACTGTTTGTACTAGGATAATAACAGCTAAAGGGCCTAGAAATTGTGTTCACTTATTAAGTTCTTTATTGTTTGCTTTCCTTTCCTCCTCGAAGGGAAACTAGCTGTCTGTTTTTTGTGTAAAGCAATAAAAAACTGATTTCAGATAGTGCAAATTCCCTACAAGACACAGCTATGCTCTCGATTCTTACTGTCATTCCCATATCCCACGTCACCATGGGGGAGAGCAAGCAAGGGAAAGAGCTACACGTCCTGGTGGGAGCACTTGTGGAACGTTCTTCCCCTGAGGAAGGAACCTGCACGTTAGGAGCAGGGAATGGCCCGGCAGCCAAGCTTGGCTCAAACTGCACCAGTAAGCACTCCATCAGCAGGCCAGGAGCTCAGCCTGCATCACCCACCTTAAGATTAGCTCAAAATACGGTTGCCACCTGGTGGCTAGCAGGGAAGGAATACGGCATCCGCGAGAGCTCGGGCAGGTCTGCTGTCGGCGCCAGGAGCTGCGACAGGGAAAGCCGCAGGGAAAACCGCGCTCCGCGGAGCGCAGGGAGGGAAGCAGGAGCTGCAGCCAGCAGCCCCGCGCGGCCATCCGCACGCGTGCTCCGCAGCTCCCAGGCTGCCGGTCCCGGCCAACGAGCCCGAGGCAGCGACAACGTTAGGCCCGACGGGTCCGGGCTCCGCTGTGATCCCGCGGCGTTTTGTAATACCGTCGGGGCCGAGGCCAGCGCAGCACCCACCCCCAGACCGCCAGGATTAAATCCGGTGCTAAAGATAACCGCAGGGAACATGAGCGGAGCTCTGATCCGCTCACCCTCCGCCCTCGGACGCGCACCCGTCCTTATTCAGTCAATGTCACCCCGCGGCGGTGGGCTGACGGCGGCTGACGGAGCGGCCGAGCCGCGGCCCTGCGCGAAGCCGCACGGCCCAGGGCACGGACCCGGGCATCGCGTGCCGCCGGCACAGGGAGCACAGAGCTGTCCTCCCGTCACCGCAGCAATCCGCCGCTTCGGCTGCAGCCGCTCCGAGAGCTGCACTGAAAGGCGAGCGGCCGCACCGAGCCTCCGGGAGACCATCAGGAAGCGGCGCCCGTCCCCTTCGCTCGGTACCTCCGAGGTTACGTTCGCAACGCCACAGAACGCAGCGGCGCTCGCTAAGCTCGCAGCCGGCTCTGCCTCTCCTCCGGCAGCGCCCGCGTCGCCTCCCGTCGGTACTCAGCCCGGGCCGCGAGCGACGGCAACCCGGCCCCGCGCATCCCCACCCCCGCCCCCTCACCTTCTCCTGCGCCCGGGTGAGCTTCTTCTGGACGTTGCTGGCGATCTTGCCGGCCGTCACCCCCTTGCTGCCCAGCTCGGCCATCTTGCCTGCTCTTTTAACGGGCGGCTGCGAGCGCCGGGCCGGCGGGAAGGGGGGGAAAACCCGGCGGGAGACAATGGCCCCGGCCGCCGCCGCCCGCCCCACGGCGCCGCCTTTTAAAGGGACAGAGCGCCGCGCCGCCTTAAAGGGGCCGCGCCGCCCCGGGAGGGGGCAGCAGTGGCACTGCCCGCAGGAAGCCTTCCTTAATAGTACCATTGCAGAGGGCTGCGCGGTAGCGAGTGATCTTAGATGATGGTGTGATCTGGGTGCTATCTTTCCTCCTGCTTTAAGAGATTTGAACCACTGATGGATCATACATATAAAATCTGTAACGCTGCATCAATACTTTTCAAATTATTCCTGGACCTAAAGTGAGAAATTTACATTCTTGGGGATGGGGATTGTAACGAATCAAGACCCTGATTTAAAAGCAAGCTGAAATATCAGCAGTTTTCATTCCATACTTTTAGCTGCCCACTGTGGCACACAGGTAAATGCCCTCACCTAGCTCTTATCTCTTTGAAAAGCAGGGAAAAAAAATATCAACTGACAGAGTGTTCACAGCAATAATGGGATGGCTGATTGGTTTGCATGGAAGTCAGGCATAACCTGCTAGCACAGCACAACCAATCTCTATTTTCACATGTGCACAATAATTTGGATTCAGCATAGCTGAATGGTGGTTCATCGCTCCCATCAGGGAGTAACGTTGATGTCAAGCACCACCACAGAAGATGCTGCACACCTACTAGAAGAAACCAACTGGGGCTGCACAGCGCTTTGCACACCTAACTTCCCTGGAATTCTCAGTGCCTTTGCCCACATGGTTTTGTTCTGTAGCTGTGACCAGTATTTTAGCACTGACCCAGGTGTGCACCCTGCCTCCTGTCTGCCCTTGACCCCTGCCCTGCACTCCTGACTGCGCAGCACACACTGCAGCTGTGCCACAGCCTTCATCCAGCCAGGCCTCCATCTTGCTCTCCTATACCCACTGTGCAAATACATTTTGTGAAACTGCTCCTTCACAACACAGGACAAAATTCTTCTTCCTGAAAAATGGGAATCCTAACATTCAGCCCCAAAGTTCCCTCCAGTTCCTCACACTGGGGCTTGGTCAGGTTCCTTCCTAGCTGCTTCTGTACACTGGTCTTACTGCTTGTGAGTTGGCATCTGCTATATGAACGCAGCACCCAGCACATCAGCCAAAACACTTGAGAGACAATTCACATACACATTAAGATGGAGATGTGCATCTCTTACACTTAATTTAATAGAAAGATGGTAGTAAAACTGACCTGTGTTTCAAGATGACTTCACAGTCTTTATTTTGCCAGATGAAAAAAGCTACCTCCAGAATTTCATGCACACAGGGAATTAGTCTAGTACTCACTGTTGCAATCTGAAGCAAAAGAAAAACAATGACAGTGACTACTTGAGAGAGCCAAGCCAGATTATTCAACTTGTATTTTACTTATTGTTTCCCATATCTGCTTCAGTTCTATTTCCACACATTCAGAACTTGAAATAAAAACAACTGTTTTGCCAGAGCTCTTAGAAACTGCAAGTAAAGAACTCACCAACATCCCTTTGTGAGTCTTCATGATAGAGTACCTCTGCATTTCATACCTCTCACGTCAATGGCTTTAAAAAAAAAAAAAAAAAAAATCAGAAACTTGCTTAAATCCATGCTGTACCTTATGTTAGAAGGATACCACTCAGAAACATACCACAGAATGGCTGAGGTTGGAAGGGACCTTAGAGACCATCCATTTTCAACTCCCTGTCATGGACAGAGCTCCCACCCACCAGGTGAGGCTGCCCAGAGCCCTATCCAACCCGGCCATACCCATGTATCATCTGAAAACACAATGAGATTTTCTTTGTTCCTTACTCCTCTCAGAACTCTTCCTCTCCAACCAAAATTTTAAGAGAATGATGTGGTTAAGTATTTGTCACATCAAATATAAATTAGCAGATGCTTCAGGGACAGAATACGTTCCTCTGCATTCTACCTCACCTCACATACTTGCTTCTCCTGTCTGTGTCCTCTCTTCAGTAACACTGTTTCTGAAGGATTTTTGTTTATGATCTTTCAAGTGAAAAGAGGTTGAGTCTGCAGCACATAAGCTGAAAAGAGAGTCCATAGAAAATATCAGACAATTGTGAAACAAAGGTGGCCAGACAACCATATTCACCACAATGAAAACTGATGACAAACCCAGTACATTTTTAAAGCTAGGATTAACAGCAAGCATCCATTTCACAGCATGAGTCATTTCCCAGTTGTTCCTGTGCTTGATTGGATCAGCACTACAGCTGCAAAGCCTTTGTCAGGCTCCAGGTGTGGCACAAGATGTAATCCCCTACCATGATGCAGTTGAACACCACCATAGTAGAACAGGCCAAGCATTTGAATTAAATTTATATAAGCCATTTTTAACCAGATGATATATGCTGAAATATTTTGTTTTGCAGTCAGTGTTTTGTTTTCAGTCTCATATCCATCCACCATTGTCTGATCTCATTTGTATAAGTTAGATTCTGCACAAATGGAGTTTAAAGGCATAGAACTTCATACACCCAGCTTCTGCAATGAGATTCACTAAATTAGACAACTACGCATGCATCAAACCTAATTTGATACCCTTGGACACTTCATTTCTCCTAACTGTAACCAGCTGAACATGTCTAGACTGATCTAAGCTGAGGTCAGATAGGCATCTTTAGTCACCTGAGAAATCAGTGCTTCCAAAGCACCAAACAGATAAAACATCTTCCAGCAATGTCTCCCACCCCCTTAGCTACAGAGGGAGATTAGACAAATAGTTTAGATAGCTGAAATCAAGAAAGCCAGGTGGGTTATGAAACCTGCCTGTAGTCCATCTCCTGGGTGACAGTATGACTCACATAGTTCACAAGCGAGAGAAGTATGACAAATACAACACCACAGTGCACATTTTTACAGGATATACCTAACAGTTGTTGGGTTTTATTGTTTGTTTTTTGTTTTGTGTGTTCTAAATTGATTAGTATTCTAATCAATCTATGCCACATTAGTGCATTTCACTTCTCACTCATCAAAGACGGATGAGCTGCTCATCTGTTTACAGTTAAGCATATGTTTAAGTGCTTTGTGGGTTGGATTCTATCACTTTGTAGCTCAGATAAAATTTAGTGCCTTCATGGCACAAATTTTCACTTTTTTTTAATTCTTGTTTTTGCCCAATCTGTCCATCTAGGAGCAGAATGTTTTTTGGAATCATTCCTAAATATAAATTGGTGTAAAATATTTTCTAAAGATTGATTTCAGCAATACATCTTTCAGCATCTCTGACTTGAACCCTTTAATTGCAGCTTGCACATTTAGAGCTACAAGCTGTGATAATCAAAATCTATCTGCTTCCCCTGCTGTTGGTGGCAACACCCTTAATATAGAATCAGTTCATTTCAATGACAGATTTTTGAATTGACTGTTTAGTGGTTTCTAACATTCATACAACTAAATGCATGTATTTCTTGTTTCTTGTTTAAGTAATTCCAAGTAAATGTAACTCATTATAGGTCTATAAGTATCATGATTCTTTGTTAATATTCAAAGCTGAGGCTCACCTTTACCCCAAAGACTGGCTGCTTGGTATTATTTTGGTCTGCCTCTGGCCATAACACTAAAAGTCAGATGGCCTGAGTGCCAGCAGCACTTTCTTGCTTTATGATGCCAGTTGTGGGATTTATTTAAAATGCTACATCCAAGCCCTCGAAAACAAGAAATAACACAAGGTACACTAGGTAGCAAAATATCAACTTAAAGCAATCTTGCTCTTAAGCAACTTCTTTACTTCCTTCTTTCCATTTGCAATCATGAGCTTTTCTGGGACAACATTCAGAAAGAGCTAGCAGACCTAACTTCTATCTTTGCATTTAACTTGATAAGATCATTTGCCAAGGGTAATTCAGACATCACTTCCACCATTTCTTGGTTTGTCCTAGCATTCCTTTTTGACTGACTGTATTCTTAGGCAAACTCTTCCTTTATTCTCTTGCAGGAAGATGGTGGGAAGGATTAGGAAGTTTCTACCCTAATATAAGATAAGGCTTTGCTGATTATGCTTTCTACTCCTTAAAACAAAACCAAGATGAAACTATTTCGATTTTAAAATAGTGTCTAGAAGCTGTTCTCTCCCACAGCTTTCAAACTCACAACTAGTTGATTTCTCTTCACTGTTAACAACAATGAGAAAGAGAAGATGATGCTTAAGCAGCTCTTCTTGTATCCAAAACACAAAAAGTTATCTACCGCTACAGCAGGAAGAGTGGCAACAGAAGAGCTCCAAACTCAGCTCAGCTCTGAATTCTGAGATTTCATCTACATATTAGTAAACTATCTAAGAAATAGAAATTAATAGACCACTCTACATATTCCTATGTCAGTTTACAACTGTAGTAGAATACATAGCCTTCTTCATACAATCTCACAAAAGATATCACCAGCACAAAACACCAGAGAAATACAGAAATATTTCTAAGAAACACACCTCCACAAGGTTCACATTGGTGATAGCTACACTACATAGACCTATAAAATGGTAACACACAATGCAGCTGCATTGCCTTCTTCCCTGCTTCCCTCTACTGACAGCCTCAATTAATTTCCTTGGCAACAAAACTGAGCAACTCCTTCACTACAAAGAACTTATGAGCGCTGTATCATCAGCACTGGCATATGCCTAGAAAATCAAGAGAGATGCATTGGCAATTCTGAGGAGAAACAGCCATCAAAATGGCTTCTAACGTGAATAACTCTTTGCTATTCCACTCTGGAGTCTAACCTAAACTCTAAATATTTTACTTAATTGCTGCCAATACGTAGCTGTTTCTGAATTTGGTCAAGAAAATTTTCTTTTATTTGTAGATAAATATTTGATCCATGATTGACAATGAAATAGTATTGAGAGTTAGATTTAAAATTAAAAGTCTCCTAATTAGTGTTTATCTCTCTTCACAAGTGGGCTATCTGACATTTATAGATGTCATTGAATCCTCTGACATCTTTAAGTGTCCCTGCCA